ACGTTCTAATTTTTAATTAAATGGTAATATTGAGTATTTTAAATTACTTATGTACGAAATTAATGACTTTGATGCATTATGCTATAAAAAAATCAATTGTTCGGAATATTTACAGACAATTTTGAATCAGGCCAAATCAGTTTTTAGTACATTGCGTCCTTAGTGCCATTCTATTTCCCACAATGCCGCGCGTTGTTTACAAACAAGAGACCCCGAAAAAATCCTCTAAACTAATTATTGTACATTGTGTACATCACAACATTTTAAAATTATTTGAATAAAAAGAAAACAGAGAAACATCGAATCAAAACTATATCTTTCAGATGCATCAATTAAAACTGTGCACATGCAGTAAAGGCTTGGCTGGCTATAGTAGACAACTTGTTCCTGAAAGGTTTCTCACATATTTGTTTTATGAAAAACAATTAAATATAGCTTGAAGTTTATTTCTTTTTATATCAAATGACAAGATTTAATAAGTTCGAAATAATTTCAGTCAAACTTTTTCATAATATACCAATATTTTTAGCTATCAGAAAAAAACGTGTATGAGCTATTAACCCCTAATTATAGGCGCCAGCCCCTTTTCATTAATCTAATATGAAAGCTCTTGTATTTACACACAACTTTTGTTATATATTTCTTACCAAATTATTCCTGGTTCAAAAGTTATTACACAAAAAGTAGCAAAAATTCAAGGAAAAAAAATTACTAAAATTTGCGGTTTTATAGCTTGCAAACTTTAAGAAATCATCTTATGATTTTATCGTTGTGCACATCTACAATGTATTGGCTACAAGTTCTCCAACTTTCGTGTAAATATCATATGTCGTTCTTGAGATTTTTAGTGGAAACGAGAAATCAAAATTTATCAATTAAAGGGCAATAACTCACAATTAAAGGCATGCATCAAAAAATTGAAAACATGTGAAAATAGGTTTAACTACAAGGTATCTAACCTGAAAGTTTCATAAAATCAGTCCAAAGGTCTTTGAGAAATAGCTTGTCAAAAATCGAGCAGGAAAAAAAAAGAATAATAAGAAACAATAGAATAACAGTAGGGTCTTCCGAAGGAAGCGGAAGACCCTAATAATCTTGACCAACAGAATCAGTAGAAGGTCTTCCGTTGGAAACGGAAGACCTTAATTAAGTACATACGGAAAAGTGTAAACTTACTAATACGTTCAAATATTATTCTTTCATAAACTAATATTAAATCTCTTGTATATGTGATGAAAATGTACGGATTAAACCTTCCCATATCATTAAGATTTAAGGTTGTATTTGATGAAATTTAATATCATTATATTATTGCATATTATTTATATTTATTCCATCAATGATTTGTATGGTTTACAGCTGTTGGTTTTTGGCAAGTATTTTACAATCCTACAAAAATTCATTTCTCATTCAATTTTATTAGATGTTATCTCAATGGTGTACAAATAATGAGTTCTTAAAAGTACAAGATATTTCAAATTTATGCCTAAATGTCAAAATTTAAAAAATTTACAATCATGATTGTAGCTCAAGTATAATGGAGTAATTTTTTACATACTAGTAGTAAGCAATAAACTGAAGTAATTATAAATAATTTAATATAAGAATAGAATTGTGTGTAAAATTCAAATCTGCATTATATCAGAACACAGCAGGTCAAAAATGAAGTCATTCTGGACTCCAAAAGACTGCAAAATCTGTGACTGAAACTGACACTATTAAAACTGCTGCATGGGTTGTAAATGGCTTTTCAATTTCTCACAAAAAATTATATCATACTTTGCATAAAAAGAATAAAAGTTGCCAATAAAAGTTGTCCATTCTTTTTACATGTGCATTTAATAAGACACACTAAGCCACTGACAGAGAAGCCTCACTCGCCCACAAGCAACAGCAAAAGGATCGGTCAGAGACACCACCTTTCTCTTGCTTGGGTATCAAGATCTGCAACTTATTGCCAGCAAAGCTCTTTCAGACCACCCTTTTATTGTTCCCCAAGTATTTCCACAACAGATGTCCATGCACTAATTATTCAAGTTCAGACTGTGAAAAATACAATAACCAAAAAAATCTTTTATATCATTTGGTTATGTCAATTCAAATTAAGGAAAAAGTATCAAAATTACACAAAGCAGCTTAAATTTGTTTCCAATACATGTAGCCCATTTCTGTTCCAACTGCTAGGTATATTGCTTGATGATTGTAACTTAATTAACATATCCTCATTAAATCAACTTTACATTGGAATGCCAGACATTTCAAAAGTGATATTTTTAACTTTGCCTTAAAATATGAAGGATGAGCTCTGAAACATGCACATATTAAAGTCCTGTATAAACATATGTACAAGTATCTTAACAAATTAAGCCTTAATTACAACTCCATTTTAATTTATACATTTCCTGTTTATTCAAATATAGGATAGATGGAGTTAGAAGTCCCTTCTATGGTATATTATCCTATATTTGAATAAACAGGAAATGTATAAATTTTTAACATCCGGTGATGTTAATACATTCGAGGTTGTTTTTCTGACCTCTGACGGAAAGACCAAAGATGATGCGATTGTACTCGATATTAGGGTATCGTTGAATCCGCGATATTGGATATAGGAGAAGTAAACACCTAATAAAACTAAAAGAATGGGATGGCGCATGTTGCCAAGTTAACTTTCATCTAGATACACATGTTTTCTAAAGGTATCACTAGCCAAGTAAGAATTTGGGCGTCAAGATTAATGCGCTCGGGACAACAAATACCCGTGGAGCTCAGAACATTTCATGATAATGTCACATATTTTGGGTTTCTCGGCCACAGGAAAACATGGAATTTTTTACCAGTTCTGACCACATGGGAGGCGGGGGTATCATTTAGTGAGCTCATCGCTCACAGTACCTCTAGTTTTATTTTCTTCTTTAATGTAACGTTGGTATTCTATAATGGCAGAGATACACAATTATGACTCGCTTATACTGAACTCTCTAACTGTTAGGAGTAATTTATACTTCACAAGAAAGAAGCCATACATTTTTCAATAAAAATACATAACACGGCGTTAGTCGTTTGATTTCTTTAAAATTTCACGTTTTGTGAAGAGTGCACAAATTAGAAAATTAAGTACATGGAATACTTTAATTGGAAATAAAGACAAACGAAGTGTATTTATTTGTTTTTAGAAATTATATTGTCCTCTTTGTTACCCCAGCAGTGTTTGTTGTGTGATTTTAAACTTATTTGACAACCTTATGAATTAGGTTTAATAAAAATAAATCCACAAGATACTGATGTACAAGTAACAGTTACTGGCATAATGCGCCGTTGCTTTATTCTTTAGTTCTTTACAGAAAGTTGCACGGAATACCCGATTTCGCGGATTCAACGATACCCTAATATCGAGTATTATACGCGATATCAAGAATTCGAGTATCCTCTCCGATTTTCAGGTAAATAGGCCAATGTCGAAATATGTTTGACTTTTACCAAATATTTTGTGTACTTATAAAATCACGCCCTCGATTTAAAGAAAGCAGTGCTCAGCACTTTTCAAGTTAAGGAAAATATCCTTTATATATATTCAAAAAATGGTTCAGATCTATGCAGTGTGTGCCCTTGCAAAAGAACGATTTTATGAGGCATCTCGATATAAAATATAGGCCTACGTAGCCTGTAAGTAAAAACACGACATAATTAATAAAATACATTCTCATGATAGTTGATTAATCATCGCACTAAACAAGGGTTATACATTGGTATTAATCGACTATTTAAAACCTGTAAATAATATTCCGTTTAATAATGAAACGCATTTCTCATTGTTAATGAATTCCTCAATCTGCCTCCCACAGCACATAAAATACGTCATTTTAACAAATATGACGTCATGTTTACAAGTTCATCGCGATCAGTGCTTTGTTTATAACCAGCTACATGGGATTTAACTAGCAACTTTTTTAATGCATTGATATGTTATATTGTTGTTTATTATGCTAATACAGTAAAAAGTTGCAAATTATTACATTTTCAGGTGTTATGAGAAATAAATTAAAGTCATATTTTTGTATGACATCACAGTAAACTTTTCCCGTTTAGATTTAGCCCCGCCCCCTTTTTTCAAGCCTTAACAATGCTGAGTATTAAAGAAACCATTTGAGATATTTTTATGCAAGCCTATGCCTATATGCTTTATCTTAATGGTATTATATAATCTATATCCATTTTTAAGAAACTATTCAAGATATTCTCAACAAACGTCATACACTTATACAGATTTTCATTCATATACCGACTCGATATTTCCCAAGGGTCTGACACTGGAGAAAGACGTAAATCGTAGCCAGCTGACAACAGTTCGTTATAATTAACGTGATTAATTTAACTTTCACGTCGTCAAAAGTAGATTCCTCTTTTTGTCTATTTTTTTTTTTATTAAAAAATCATACTTAAATGTGAATGATAAACATTTACCGAAAATCTTAGATTTGATAGCTATGTGTTTTTTTTTTTCATTAAAACATGACCTCCACAGTTTTACCAGACACCATCCCTTGAAGAACTTGAAATACATTTCGAAGAAGAAACCAAACACATCAGCCTTCCCATTATATGTATGATTAAATATCGGAATTATTTGATTAAAATAAGATGTTGTTTCAGAACTTCAGAAGGGGATTTAAGTTTTGTCCCTAGTAAGCTAAATTAGAAAGAAATATTTGTAGTGATTTTTTTTTCGTTTACAAATAACCAGTAAGAATTATACTTTACTCGAAGTCGCTGTCCTGTCACTATACTAAAATTTGAATTTATTGTTAGAATACTTAAATTCGGTTTGGATTAATATCTGAATACAAATATCAAAGCGTGCATATTAACTGTCAAGGTTCATTTGAGATCAAATTGTTATCACAAATTTCCCAATTTAGAATATATGTGTGCAACATCAGCATATCCAATAAGTATTTAATGAATGCAACGATATCAGACCTTCCATTTCCATGATTTAGGTAAAGGGCAAACATATGGGAAACGTAAACATGCAGAGAGGGATTTTCTGACAGATGAAAATAAAAGATGCCGAAGAGCCAGTTTGGGAAACACTATGGAGTTACCTTTCAAAAGTGATCCATGCAAAAGCAACACCGGGGCAGAACTGGAGGAAATGGATTTCTCAGATGACGAAGATGTGCTAGTGGACACATCTAACGGTATAATTTTCTCAATGTTCTTAGCTTCAAATGCATTTATTTAATTCAGATGAATTGTGTCATTTGAATCATTGTAGAAATAATCTCAGTCGAAAACAGAAAACATTCACTTAGCGTGCTATTAGCTCCCTTGTTCACACCAGAAAATCATTTATATGTTATACAGTATCTAAATGAACTTAATAGTTAGGAAGTTTTTAATCATATCCTTCCAAATGATTTTGTATTGAAACAAGCTTTTGGACAGAGGGAAGTAGAAAGCCAGAAGAAAATACAAAAACAATCATAGTTTAATAGGATAGCCAACACATTTAAAACTTTCGTAAATTTTTTCAAATATTTTGCGTGTGATATAAAGGACATAAGTCAACCAAACTCGTTCCTTGTATTTGTTAGGATCAAACACTTTTAACCAGAGTTTTTTGACGTTTAATGCATAATTCATAAAATAGTAATTTGTATATTGCAGAGCATTTTGGCTTTTTAAAATCGGTTTTAGTCCTCTGTAGGGGCCACCTTAGCAGTGTAATCTTGTAGTAATAGTGATCTCTTAATTATATCGCTTATGCATTTAACATTAATATTGTTTCTGCTGTAGGATTAACTCAGCACGCATCGGTCACCCCCGTTATTGATAAAGTCATAGCTATAAATCTACTAAATTTATATGATTAAAATGGACCTTAACATATAGTATGTGATTAAAATATAGAATTAAGAATCAATTTCATGTTGTTAATTGACTTCACATGAAAACCGATCTTTTTAGATACAATCACTACTGACTTTCAAAACCCTTGTCCGTATGAAAATCACTTGTCTTTCTCTGTTACCATCAGCATTTTCACAGTTATTTACTCTATATCTACAGAATGGTACGATATGCATCTACTGCATAAACAGTAATTCTTATTATGCCATTATTTCACATGAACTAATTACATATCTCAAATTCAAAATTTATTAATTAATTTAGTTCTCAAGGTAAAGGAAACTTTTGAGCGAATATCATACTGCCCTATAAAAAAGATTTTAAAATGAGAATTTTTAGTTAAAAATGGTCTTGTACTTTTATTTTACATTTTTAAAAAAGATACATTACTTTTACCAAATCTTTTTTTATATATATTGAAATTAAATTGTAAAATAATTACAAAAACTTCCTTGGGGTAAATCGAGGACATAAAAGTCATAATTATTTAGTCTTTGGAAGTACTGATCAGTAGGAAATATAGAATTGTAGAAAATAAGGAAGGCTAGACTAGTACATGAAGATTATTAACTCCAAAATGTCTTCTTGAAAGCTCCAGCTAAAAATAACTCCGTTATATTTTGAAGCGAGCTCAATAGACTAACGTGTAAGAACAGAGGAAATTCGGATTAAAATCTGTACATACGTCAGCCAAATTTCTCTGTGCAACATTCCCAGAATTCCTGCACTACCCAATGTCCTTTGCGCGAATATTGCCGAATAAATAAATAAATAATAACGTAAAACATATATATCAGACTTTCAGTTTGTAAAAACCTTTTAAAGAAACAAGAAATAACTCTGCAGTGTTTTTCGACAAAAATTGCACTACGTCTATAGTTTCAAACAGGCGCTCGGCTGTCTCCGTAATCTCCAACGAGCTTTGTGATGTCGTATGACGTCACAGCTAGTCGATATATATCGTGCGGCCTGACGTTTGAAGTGGCTGATCTCAAGTGTTTTTGATGGTACAACTGCGCTCACCCCAACAGTTTTACCGTAAAACATATTATTCTAAAATAGTAAATAAACCTCGCCTGTAGATATTTCCAGAAATATCCATTTCCATTTTTATTTTTTTTCAAAATCGATGATATAATATACATGTACTTATTGATAATGCTTTGAATCTAAAAATCAGTATTAAGTCGTATTTCGTTTTGAAAATATCGATTCCTAAATAATTTAATCTATTTTGCGTTAAAAATCGTGCGTTTGCGTCAGCAATCGTGTAAGATCGTGTAACGTGTAGAATCGTGAACATGAAGGATCGTTCGTGTATCAGGTTTAATCGTGCGTTAATCGTGCGGAATCGTTCGTGTTACTTGATCGTTCGTGTAAGTTGTCAACAATAACGTTACAGCCACTGTATGCATGCACAATATTAATAATCATAGATTAATTTAGCGATATACTGTAATATAAGTTTAAAAAAGGTAGCCGAAAAGGTTGCAAAAGACGAACTAAAGTGCACTAACTCTTTTATAAAAAGAGAAAAAACTCAAGTTCCTTATGGCTGTAAATGATTTACTTTACTCTTTAAAAATAGTACAATTTGATTGCAATTGTATTTAAAAAGTCATGAAATTAAAATATAATTTTTGATAAATGGTCATTTAATTTATGTTTAGATTTCCAGTCTTATGTAATTGTAAATAACACTTTCAATTAGCAAACCAATCACACATAAAAATACAAGTAAAATAATAATAAAACTACAGGAAATGTACATCTGTAAATTTTTGTTCTATTTACATAAGACTAAACAATATTACTCATTGACATCGATTACCTGATAGAATAATTAAGAAAATTCAATAAATTATTTATTACATTGTTAATCTGTTCTGCACTCATAAAGATTTTTTATTGTAAAATTCAAAAATAGAAAAGCATGATTAAAATATCAACTTTAAAGCACACGAAGAGAAACAAAAGGTTTAGAAAAGATAAAGTAACAGCATGAAAAGAATATGAACCATTTTAGTTTATAGCACATTCGCGTTGCTATTCATAATGGAGAGACCTAAAAGAGTGATATCAAAATATACATAATTATGAACAGTGAAAAGTAGTTCGCTTACAAAAATTGACATAACCTTCGTCGGAAAAAGAAAAGGAAAATACCTCGGCAGAATACGAAAGCCCAGAAGGCTCATTCGAAATTCAAGTTTCAAAATACGAGATTCTAAACTCGAGATTCGAAATTCTAGTTTTAAAATTCAAGATCAAAACTAACCAATCAAAAGCGGGTTAAACATTTGATTACTCCCCTTTATTATTTTTTTTACTATCACGTTGAATATATTTATAACAAATGGGTCATTTGCTAAAATGATAATGCAAGAAAAAGTGATTTATGTATTAAAACAAAATGAAAATGAAATTTGGATTAGAATTTGAAAAATACTTATATAGTTTTATATTTCTCATTAAACAAAATTGGAAATATGTATATATGGAATATTATAAAGTCTTATCGCTGACTGGAGGAATAAGTAGTTCAACTATTTTTTTTCTTCAGATTATTGCTAATGGAGAATATTGTATTGGATTATAATTAGATATTAAATACTAGTATTAGGAATCGTCTCCACACTGCACAGTAAATCAAGGGTATATATTTCAGTACATTTATAAGGGGTACATTTGTGCAGTGAAACTGGACTGCTGAATCGAACTGTAGCGTTATAAGGTTTCACGAGTATATTTAAGTCTCTGGTCTTAACGGTATACGGTATGGTCAGAGACTAAAATTTAAAACAATAACGCTATAGTTCTGCATCTAATTTAGACTCATCTACTATTTACATATTCAGATAAAATAAATTAATGCCACATTTATTTGAATTCAAATTGCCAATCTGAATTGTATATGTAATTTTTAATTAATTCAAGAAATCAAAGCCTTAAATGAAGATAAGTAGTTAAATATTTAATTGTTGTATTTCTTCTATCAGGAAAACGGACGCGATTTTTGTTTTTCAATACTACGTTGCCTTTTAAGTTTTACAAAGTAGGCAGGTGGAATGGGTAGGGGTAGGATTATTGTTAATCTTTAGATACTTGACACTTATTTACTACTTTATTTATATGTCATCAACCCCGGACACAAAATAGACAATCCAATTATATATAGTCCTTTTTTATGTATTCTATTAAATATTTAAGAAGCCATAATATAAATTGAACTTTATCTTGCTGATCAAAAATCCAATCATTATTTTGATTTCCTTCTAAAATCTATTGCACTCATTCTTGTATTGTAATTAAATCAAATGACTCATTTGCTATAAATATAATAAACGTTTTCTTGATAGTTAAATCATAATAAAGGGAAGTAATAAAATGTTGAACCCGCTTTTGATTGTTTAATCTGGATATTGAATCTCCAAACTCGAATTTCGAATCTAAAAATTCGAATGCAGTATTTCGAATATCGAATTTCGTATTTTGAACCTCCAATCTCGAATGAGCCTTCTCGGCTTTCGTAGCAGAAATACATGTACGTTAGTTCAAAGCGATGAAAATAAGGATAATTGAATTGTATTTTTGTACATTAAGCGCAACGGTTACATGTATTTGTGAAAACAGGCATGCCTTTGTTTTTGCGCCACCGGTTAAGTCGACTGGTAAAATAATTAATGTAGATGTTTGATATTTGTGGTCAACTAAAGGTCTGTTTTCGAACTCAAAAGGACATATGAGCTAATAAATTAATTTTACTCCTGACAATTTTTGTTTATTTTAGAAGAAAATGACTGAATAATAAATTTATTTTATTTAATAAAAGTTGCCGAACAGAAAAAGATAAGGTTCACATCATTGAATATTGTCTACAGTTTGATTTTATAGTTACATGTATATCATCAGTCATCTTATTAAATGAAGTTTAGACACAAGTTTTCATGAATTTTACTCAATCAATGCATTGACTTGAAGGCAAGAATGACTGTAATAATGGAATAAGATATGGACATTTTAATGTACTATATTTCGTGGCACAATAACATTTGTACATTAATTTACAGAAAAAATTTGAAATTTTTTTTTGTTTTGGTGACTCTAAATGATTATTTTCTAAACAGTAAATATACCAAAAGAAGTACTAAAATGGGACTATGATGCTCGAGGCAGGAACGTAGCATGCGCTAAGAAAGGGACCCAAACAATGCATAGAGCTCGTGCAATGATTGTTGGTTGTGCTGGAGCTGGAAAAACTACATTTTTAAGGCGACTTCAGCAACGAAATATTCAGGAGTTACGACAAATACAGTCGACCGTAGGGCTTGAAGTGTTTGAAAACTTATTTGAAGTAGACAGAGAACATAAATCTTTAAGAGGTTTGTAAATCGTTCCAAAGCGATTTTGATAAAAAATATTTATTTTTTATGAATCAATGTGATTGTTTCTGTTGTTTAGGTCTGGAGAAAGATGTTGATACAGAAAATAAGTGCCTACTAAGTGTTGTGGACTTCGCTGGACAGTGTGCGTATTATGCCTGCCATCAGGTCTATCTCAGCAGAAGAGCTTTTTATCTTCTAGTTATCAATATGTCAAAAAGTTTTGATGAAAAAGTTGATCAAGAATTGTGTGAACAGGAAGGAACCATGTTTGCAGACTGGACATTTGGACGTAAGTGTTTTGTACATGTCTTTGCGTTCAGAAAAGTAATTTTTGTACGTATAATTTTGATTTAAATTGATTGTTATGCCATGTTAAGGATTTTTTTAAGTGTGAAAACGACATTTGCAATTTCCACGTTCAGTATTACACATTTATTGATTATATTAACGGGAAAATACATTTTGTAACCAAACTGGCATCCTTTGGCCTAACGGCCTCAGGCAGTTTGCTTCTTTAGTCCGAATAAACGCATTTGTCCGGAGATTATAATCAATAGATGTCTTGTGATACATTTCATTTGGTTTTTTTATGTACTTGTCTCTTGTACGGTCTTCCGTAATGTAACCCAAGGTCCGTCACTTTTGAATACCAACGATTAAAGATGAGATTTAACTCCGCTTTATTCTCTTACGTAAGTGGCCCATTATCTAACTCAGTGGTCCAACATTGATGTTTTATGCCCCCTCAGCAAAACATTAGAAAATTTCCACCTTTTGTATACATTTGTATAGGAACACATTTTAAAAGGTATAACAATTACGTTCGATGGAGTATCAAAAAGCTCGTGGATTAGTCCCATAAAATTAAAACCGCTTTAGGAACATCTATGAATTTTAAAATATCTATTATTCATCATCTTTTCTATTTATAGAAAAAAAACACAAATCATAAATGCATAAATGTTATTTTTGAATAAATAATTAATGTTTTGAAAGCAATGGTTTGTCAAGAAGCGCAACCTCGAATCCTCGAACACGACGTTTTTCGACATAAGAGGATTAGAAAAACTCGTTAGATATTTGACGTCCAAAAATCCCGTTAATCCAGGTATGTGTCTGGACACTATTATTCCATAAAATGTGGAATTTTTACCTCATTTTGGATGTTCTATGAAATTTTATCCTAAATTTTACATGGAGTGTCCAAACAAGAAAGGCCTTCAAAATGACGTCAAAAAGGTGCAGGGGCTTCTTTTTCCAATATTCTATACGCAGCACAGTTAAGGTTACAAAAAGGAGGCGGAGCCTAATTAGTACGGGAAAACTTGACTATGACATCATTCACAATATACGTCATACAACATTTCTTTAAAATACCACAAAATGAGTTTATCTGCTAATTTAACCAGTAAGAAATCATCAAACTACATGAAAACTTACTACAGCGTGTTATTTTATCGTAAGTTAAATTCCACCTTGCAAGTTATAAACAAGTCACTGATCGCAATACACTTGTCAATATGACGTCATTTCTTATAACGTGACGTAGTTTGTATGCAGTAAGAGACAGATCAAGTAATATTTTCTCAACAAAATATGTATTCTCTTATTAAATAAAATATTATTTACAGATATTCTATGGGCGAATAACTTGAATTTAATGTCTTCTTCACTATTTTATAATTATATTTTCTGTACATTACGTATTTAATTGACACTGTCGTATATTTGTATGCAAGTACATCGGAGGGTAATGCGGGGGTCTTAATAAATCGATCTAGTGCAAGGGCATACGGTCAATGGATCATAGTAAGCTTTTTCAATTCAACTTCGAAAGTATTAGGGTTTCTGAAAAGTGCTGCGATCCTGATAAAATCTTAAAAACAATTTAATTACATCAATATTTCATGCCGCTGACCAGCAAAAAATATAGCATTCGGTCATACAAGTATAATTTTAACAATGAAATTGCAGAATTCAGACAGGATCGCAGCACTTTTTAGAAACTACAATGCGTGTTGAAAATATTTATATACTAAACTTGAAAATTCAACTTGGTTATGCCCTTGCACTAGTGAAATTTATATGTAACATCAATACTTCAGTTCAATGTGCTAAAATCGCGTGAATGCCGCATCACGTGACTAGTCTATATATAAAATAGAATCGTCCTCGATATGTTGTTATTAATCATAATTACAATTATCCGATATAAATAATGTACTAAAAATAATCACCATCCCGATTACGAATACATTTTTAAATACAAAATTTAGTCGATATTTCCATTGCGCACCTTAAGTGTGTTGCGTAACGTTTTGACCCTCAAAAATGGTATAGATCTAAGAAATGTTTAAACTGGCTACAGAAAAATGATATGCATCTAAAGCACACCTCCACACCTTATTAATATTCAGGGTCATGAACCCAATGGAACATTCATTGCATCAGATAGTTTCTTTAAACAAGGAAAGACAACTCAAGATTTTCTTTAATGGTATAGTCAGTTTCTTTTATCAATTTATATACATTTAAATTGTGATAAAGTTTGGGGGGGGGGTATTGTGAGATATGTTTTATTTCATTAAGATCACTTCTGGTCAATTTTCATGTTGAATAAGTAAAACATTAACACAGTGTATTTTCAGTATGAAATACTGCATAGGTATATGAATGTGTTCACTATTTTTCTGTTTGATAAATACAGGTAAATTGAGTTTCAAGTATACCTGATTTCACATAAGCTACATATCTGCAGCTACTAGTACAAGTAAATATTTCTGGAAGGTATCTATCTACATAATCATATTCAGTTATTAATTTTTCTGTTAACTGAATTCAACAAAAATAATTTAAACTAATATGCATACCATATTTATAACATGACTCATATTGAAAAAAGACAAAGTATACAAACAGCATGCAATCACGTTTTTATTTACAAAAAATTTACTAAGCACTACATGTAGACAGACAATGGTATGTTCAACAACAAATAAGTTGTATATTACAGGCATATGTTATAATAAAGATTATGCTGTCTAAAAATGAAGTAAAAATTATAAATCAATATTTAGATACCCTTCACAAGATTTCCAAATTTTGACTATTTTAAAAAAACAAAATTAAGTGTACAAGTGCACATTCTAAATATTTTTTTTCCTACTCAAAAAAAATTAAAGTTCCATTTTTTATAGATAATCAACCTTATAATAAAATTCATAGTCAAAATATTCAAGTGTGTCTTTCTTTACTGATCTGGTTTAAAATACATGTGTAATTACAATATGTAATTCATATATTTTAAGCATGCAATACCAGTGAGAGAGCTACATTTAGCTATTATCTCCCTTTTTTGCAAACTTTTTCTATACTGTGATTGAATTAAAAACATCAGTTTTAAGTTATAAATCTTATCTTATCATTTTATAACGTATGAAGTCACCAGCATGGCACAGTGGCAAGAGCATCTACTCAAGAGTCATGAGTGAGGAGTTGATTCATAAATTGCTGGTTCGAATTCCCACAGTCAGACATAAATAAGACTGTTTATACAGGGGTCCTTTGTTGCAGTAGGTGCTAGTACCAAAAAGATCCCTCATTGCTCAATTAGCCATGTGTGCCAAGTAAAGGACAAAATTTGCAGCACTCCACCGACAAATGTTGGCATCCCCATATGAGAGAAAATTTCTCAAGAAGAAAGTTAAACAACGTACAAAAAACAATAAACTATAGAGTCTTTGAATCTGCAAATTTTTTTTTCTGAGAAAGGGATCCTCAAATGATGTTTAGATATGCTTCATATGAGTAGAAAAGTACTGTATAATCCCAGCTAGTCTTCATGAATTCAGCAACCATTTTTTATATGGCCTGAAAAAATACAAAATGTTAATGCATTAACATAAAAATATATGATTGATATTTTTGTAATTCCTCATAAATTGATTGAATCAATAAAATAAAGTCACACTTGTTATCTTGAAATGCTCATGGGACTTTTAGAAAAATTGAGACATTTAAGAGATTCAGGGTAAGATATATAGAACAAAATGTCGTTCAAGGGACTTTAAAATGACTTTGATAGAGAGATATGCGCAAATTGAGCAAATTAAATTAACAAAAATAAATCATATATATGCAATTCCAAGTGGTTGCACATCATTTATCCAATTTGTAATACTGTCATGAACGTCAACATACCGTAGGTAGTCAAAGTTGTTTGATGCTTTTGTAGACTACACTGTATTCACTTGTTTTCTAACAGTACCCATTTTTCACATTACCTGAAATCCATCATTACTATCATGATGAGAGTTATGCCCCTTTTCTATAACCCCAAAATATTGCTTTCTTTCTGAAAATTGTAGCTTTTTTTACCTTACTTAGATATTAACTAAAATAAAGTCTCCATAAAATAGGAATTTTAATTATGAAACATATTATTTAAATCTCTACTTAACTTATAAGCCAAGAAATAAACAAAATGATTTTCCAATATTTACATAGGACTTTCAAGATAAACATTCTATTTCTAATTATGGCACATCCATTACACTTGATTCTGGGATTCTGCACTAGGATGTATTCATTCAGAAAATATGATGTATCGAGGCCCAGATAATCTTGAATAAATTTCATAATAAACGGTTTCAGCCTTAAATATTCCAGAATAAAACTTTGGCCCCCCCACTGTTGACCCACCCTACTCTATAGCTATATGATCTGAACAAATATAAATCTGCTCTTAACTATCTCAGAGTGACTACTCATGACCTGCCTATTCTTGAAAAGAATTAAGATTTAATTTTTAGTCTACAGATTACTATTGTTCTCTCTATATCATTGCGGTACTCTATTTACATCAATAACATATCATCACCAGTAATCAACATACCTTCTCTTTTGACTTGACATCCTTTCCTAGATTCTCGTGGTTGAAGCTTTCATCAGATAATTTGTTTTGTTACAGCTGAACTACAAATATGATTAAAACGTTAATACAATCCTCTACATTTAATTATTCTAAATAAAATATACAAGCATTTGCAATAATGTGGAAAGAAAACTGAATGAATATTACTGACAAATATCAATGCACTACATGCAAATCAGAAATATGTAATGCAATCATTTAAAGTTTGCATAATATGCTGATTATCTATCAGCATAATTTTCAGTTCATAAAATTGTTTGCTGAAACAGACAACCAACTGTATTTGTAAATTCTCTTTAAATGAATTTTCTTCTGCCTTTGAACTTACATGTACTATAATGCATCCTGATAATGTGAGAAATTTTTCACCCATTCTTTATTATTAAGGTATCTGCTGAAAATAGATCAGAATGTGATTACAATGTAAATCTTTTGAGAATTCAACAAAAACAAAAATCACTGATTCGTGCTTTTCAATTGTATTGACCCTTTTATCACCCTCTCTCTCTCTATTTATATATAACTTTTAAAGACGGTTCTTTTATACATTGATATACCTGTACATGTAGATATTGGAGTAATTTGGCATGTTTAATATTTTGTATTTGTTTATTCCAATCAGCATGATCAAGGATGATAATAATTAAATAATAATGTTGCATATTAAATATGTTGTAATTCTATCCTTACAGTTACATATACAATACTCACAACAGGCAAACCTTGAACTTGCACATCACTGTCTTCAGAGTATATCCTGCAAGAAACATTCGATCATTGCACATTACAAATGAATTGATTTGATTTTTTTTTCAGAAGTGTATATTTGCTTTTTTGTTTTATTTTAATGAAATTATATTTTTTGTGCATTTAATACAGTATCATCACTATTATGTGCATACATATTGAAGACCATTTTTAAATTAATCAAAAATACCATTCTTCAAAAAAAGACATACATTGAAAACATGTAAAGATCAGTGAAGCCCATATTTTAAAAGTGGGGAAAAATATATTTTCTTGTGTGTATAATTTGTATGGGATGGTGCATATCATTAAAAAAACAAACAACAAAAGAGGACGAAATGTCTCGATAACTGACTTTACAATGCAAGGCTAAAAAATAATTGAAGACCCACTGGACTGGGGTCAGTGATTTTTGTTTTATCTAGGATAGTACATGGTAAGGGGCATGTGTCAATTCTATGTACATGTATAACGAAATTCAATTATAGTTGGGCTAGTAACTTGACAGGCTTGTGTCAAAGATCTGTCACTTCAGAATCCTTTTTTGTTTAGATTAATTATTTGTCCAACTGTGTATCACATTAAATAAACAAAATATAACTTACATTTATCATGATTATTATTATTATGGTTTTGGGTCAGTCTCTTTTTATTAAATCTAGTAGCCTGGGACATGTGGGAGTGGGATAGTGATACAGTACCGACCAGACCCAACCTGACACCAAAGCAGTCCCACAAAGCAGTCCCCGGGACTGCTTTGGGACTGCTCTGGGACTGCTGTGGGACTGCTTTGGGACCGCTGTGGGACTGCCCTGGGACCGCTATGGCACTGCTCTGGGACTGCTATGAAAAGCAGTCCCAGCAGTCCCAGCTGCCCCTGGGACTGCTTTCTGGGACTGCTTTGTTCACTCGAGTGTGAAAGGGGTTCTGAGTGACATGATAGCTCCGCCCCCTTGTGTATTCTGAATTTGCAGGCTCCCTGTTGTTTTGTTTACTTGCAGCAGAGAGGAGTTTTAACTGTTTAATAAGCAAGGATTTCTTACATTCTTTTAATAAGTAGAGATTATTATAGTTAATTGATGTTTTCAGGGACTGTTTACCTACACAAATTAATGTGTGTTTAGAATTAATAAAATAATGAAGTTGATAAATAAGGAATTCATGAGAAAATGTTTATACGTAAAACTAAACAAAAAGTTAATGAGAAAAAATAGCTACATGTGGGCCTTTTTTAATTATTAATGTTAAATTTTAAAAATGTACTCAACATTTCCATTGGTACTATTTAAGAATAATCATTAGAGTTAGATATAAGATTTTTTTTATTAAAAATGCTACACATTTTATAAGGACCACGCTAAAAAAAGAGTATTAAAATCTAACCCTCAAATAAAACCTATCAATTTATTAAATGACCATGAAATAAAATTATGCTACCATTCTCCCATAACATAAACTATGTGAATAATCATTGGGGAATTAATGAATTATCGGTAGCTTTTAATTAATAAACAAGTTATTAAAAGAGCACATGTGTATTCATTTAAAGAAAATGAAAAATACCGGGAATTGTGATTTATTTCTTTTTGTTTTGCAAGTGTTTACCTGGCCGATTAATGTTTATAAGATGGTATCAACACCCATTGTTTCAATCGCCTTCGGGCAGAAAAATCGATACATGTTATTTGGGTATTTGTATCAGTGTTACACATCATTGAACATGCTGGTAAACAATGACCCTATTTTTAATTTATTTAATACGAATAAAAATGTGATAAATGAAATGTGTATAAATTTCTTTCGGGATTAATTAATTTTGAACATAATCTGAAGCTTCCATTCTGGTGATTTACAGATGCACTTTCTAACTTTTACAAATAAAAATATTAAAACTGAGTTTTATAGAACTAGGCATTAACGATAAATAAATTGACATGTCAGTAAAAATAATCATGACTGAAAACATAATGCTTGGCAAAATTAACAAAGAATTTTTTAAGAGCCCCAATACTTAAGAAAACTCTAATTTTAGAGTATCCCGATAGTCTAAATTGGCCATATAATGATAAGATCTATTTAAAGCTGCTTCTGGTGGAAAATATTTAATTAATGTTTAATTTTCTGTATAAAAATAAATATGGGAACCAGTAACAATCATAGAAGAATTATTAATATACCCAAGGATTGTGATAAGATAAAATATTCATGTTTAGTATAATTCATATATGTACTTATATGTGTGAAACCCTCTTCCACCAAAAAATATCATTAATAATTATTTCAATTTTTATGCGCGTACATGTTCTGTTCATAAAAGACCTTAGCTTTCATGTAAGGATTCCTGGCATACTACCCAGAATCAATTTCTACTGCCTTTTATAGTTCCATTGTTTATTGGAAATCTCATTTCTGAGTAAGCTCCGCCCATTCAATTAATAAACCCCGCCCACTGAGACTACAGGGACTGCTTTCTGGGACTGCTGGGACTGCTCTCTGGGACCACTGGGACTGCTGGGACCGCTGTGGGACTGCTTTGGGACCGCTGTGGGACTGCTTTAGCAGTCCCAGAAAGCAGTCCCCGGGACTGCTCTGGGACTGCTTTGTGTCAGGTTGGGTCTGGTCGGTACTGTATTATGAGGATCTGACCAGTAAAAAGCCTGAGTGAGCAGTGAAAGAAAACTATTTCCAGCCTGGGCCTACAATGATTTTACATTTGTGCTTCATTATGTACATTTTCTAAATTGAATAATGTTTGTTTATTTAACCTTATAGGGTCATTTGTGTTATTTTTGTCATACCTGGAGATGGCTGTTCAAAATGTACTCTACAGCTGTACCTGCAATAGACAAACAAAAAGAAAATTACTTTTCATTTCACACATTGAAATAATTAAACAATATGTAATTAAATACATGTATTCGTACAAACAAAACATCAATGTAAATTATCTTTAGCAATAGCTTTTACACAGATTGATGCACCCATGCAATTTATTATACCCCGCGCTTGAAAAGCGGGAGGGTTTATTAAGTAATCGGCATGTCTGTTCGTCTGTTATGCTTTGGTGTACCCATCTCTTATCCGCTAATTCCTTTAATACCAATGAGTGATATTTGATGACTTTCACAGAATCTATATTACATTTTGCAATTGTGCATCTTCTATCTTACTTTTTGATCCACCACATATTTGGGGTTTCTCATAGCAAAACATGGATAGAGTCATTATATTCATATAAGAATTAGCCGTAGCTATCATTTAGTGTCAGGGCTCATTGCTCACAGTTGAATACTTCTAGTTTTATAATAATTATACTATTTCAGTAGCTACTTTAAATTGGGCAATACTTTAAAAGGGAAAATAGTGTTACACATAGAAATATTCAACATTTTCATAAACTGCATATGTGATTGATTGATTGATTGTATGTTGTTTAGAATATCCCTCTCGATAATTTTCAATCATATAGATATGTAGACGGCCCACCACTTGCTGGTGGAGGGATTCAAATTTTGAGTGAGGGCCTTTGAGCAGGGAGAAATCTTTTTTGTGCCAGCATCTACAGCGACACGGGGCCTCGGTTTATATGGTCTCATCCAAGGACTGGTCTCCACGTCCCTCAGTGGGATTCGAATAAGCGACGTATGGATTGACTCCTTACTTCCCGACTCTAGAGCAGACGCTCTAATCACTGCGCCACACAGGCGAGAACTGCATATAATTATGTGAAGTTTAATACCTGATATATACACAAGTATGTGTGAACTGCATGACATCATCTGATCATAAATTCTTTGATATTAAATTAGAAAAGTAACAACCATATTTTGATGAGAAGGCTCTAGTGAAAACTGCATGATTGATATAAATAGCTAACACTATTAAAACTGCAAACAAATGTAAACAAACCTTAAATCCTTTATCAAGGTACACATGTACATGTGTAGAGGAAATTCGGAAGGAGTTCTTTTTGCATACACACGAGTACGGATAGAATTAAATTTTAGTCTCTTGGTATTTGAAAAAACACATATGGTTCTCACAAATCACTGGGTATTGATAAGTAAGAATAATGACTTTTATACGCGTAACTCTGCATATACATGCATAGTAGACTACCTAAAGTACCTTACAAGTAGGAACGACCTATAGCACACCTGCATTTTCTCTTCAATTGTAGACACGCTATTAACAGCATTTGACAAACATGCCCTAAAATATTTAGCCATTTTGTGCTAGAGGTAATCGAAAAAATAAATGAAACTCTACTTGCGAATGTTTTTGTTCACTAAATTAATGTATGTGTGTGTAATCTTGACCACCACAACTACTCCCTTCCACGTGGAAACATGTTTACAAAATGGAGAGGTACTGTTTTAACACTTTAAATTGCAATAGCACTTGACAGAAACTGCGCACCTACTTTCACTTTTCAGGTAAAGAAACGTTTGTTTTTCAACTTTTTGCAATTTACAAATCTTATAAATCGAGATAACATAAGGTTTTACCTCTTTTTTCATGTTGAATTTCTCTCTCGATTTTCACCTGTATCATGTTGGTCTCGCTGAATTCTCGCGAGGAAAGCTGTTCGGACGTTTACGGATTTTGTACATATTTTATTACGTTTATCTCCGAATTCTTCTAGTGAGGTTAGGAGGTGTGTAAAGTATTTGTTTATTATACCAAAATAAATTTAAAGAGAAAAAGAATGTCAAGTTTATGTTGATTTAAAGTCAAGGTGTCAAAAATAGTTATTGAACTGAAAAGGCGAAATATGCTGGCACAATCAAGCACGGATCTCTCCCAATTTATATATGTCTTTGAAATTTTGTATGCATTGAAAGGCGCGGTTTCATGACATTCTAAAGTTATATAACCAAGACGGGTTTAGGTCTTTACTCAGATCCAGGGAATCACATCAAAATAAGTGTATGGGGTATAAGAAGGGACAAAACAATGACGTGGTTAGACGTCATGAAACTGAACGGTGACGGAGCCAATTGATCATTAATTTTATAATAATTTGACAAATAATGAACGTATTAAGCTCAAATTTTCAACAATTCTTTATTTTTTGTTGTTTTATGTTACTTATCAATTTCGAAAGCAGAAACAACGAAGTTCTAATTTATAGCCTAAGTCCACGAACTTTTTGATACCCCTCGTACATGTGATTGGCAGTGCCAAAATCATTTTGTAAAGAAACGGACGGGGCAATCTCACAGACATGTCTAATCATGATCAGACAATCATTTTTATCAAATGTAAAAGATTGTGAATAAATCTCCAGAAAATTCATCATACAATAAAAGGAATTTGTAACGTATTGATTCTTTTATTGCATGTCATCAAATTATTATTATCAGACGAGTTTGATAGTAATAATTTTTTACTCACATTCAAACAAATCTTGGTCAGTATATGTTTTTTACAGCTACTTATTTATAATTTAGTCAAAATAAAGCGCAAAAAATCTCTAATTTACTGTACAGTGTTTTTATATGTTCAAACATCATTCGAGCAAGCAATGTTTGTTGGCAATAATTTTTTTTAATTGAAAAACAGGTTACATTTATTGATGTTTAATCATGAGAATAAGCGGTATTTCGTTTTTTTTTCAGTCAATGAGAAATTTTATGCAAACTGTGGTTTAAACAAAAAAAGTTTAAAGAAACATTCACATAGCAGTACTTTTCACTTAGTTGTCGTTTTGGGGGGAAATGCCTCTTAATAAATTTGAATGACGATGGTCAAAAACAGGAATTTGATATGGACAGAAAAATATTTTTTTAGCACATGTAAGCCCGAGTGTTCATTTATATATGGTGCAGTGGTTATGGTGCAGTGGTTAGATCGTCTGCTCGAGAGTTGCGAAGTAAGGAGGTACATGTAGTCCTTACGTCGCCGGTTTGAATCCCTCTGTGGGACAAGAAGACGGGTCCTTTGGTCGAGACTGTATAAACTAAGGTCCCGTGTCGCAGTAGACACTGGCACGAAAAAAGATCCCTAAATATCTGTAAATGACGAGTATAGGACAAACTTCAGAGCCCTCCTCTGGCAAGTAGTGGGGTCTCCATGTGAGTGAAAATTCTTCAAGGGACGTTAAACTACATACAAACAAATAAATACATGTAAAACATTCGTTTTTGACAAGTCAAAACTAAATTTCTGTTATGATTACATCTTTCATTAATTGAATATTTTAATATTTTTTTTAATTCAGAATATGTCCTTTTTTGGTTGAAATCTATCCATACCTACTGCGAAGATAACACTCCAGTTGTTACCGTAGCAACCCATTCTGACGAAGTGCAAGATATGGTATCTGTCAATGATAAAATGTTTCGAAATAAATTGTACCAAAACCAGTTCTTTCCTTTAAGTTGAAAATTAACACATACAAATTTCATTTTTTATTTTCATAAAATGAATTCAGTGTGTCCAAATTTTTAAAAAGTAGTTTGATTTCTAAGATATGGTATCAAATCAAAAAGTTGATTGTAAGAGTCATAAATAATTTGAGTGGACATTTATCTCCTTCTTACTAGGTTAACAAATCAATTTATGATGATTTGCTGGAGCTCCTGAAGTATGAGCCTGATCTGAGAAAACATCTTGACCGAGAACGCTGCTTCCACATTGGGTTACCTGAGGATGATAACGAACCATTGGATAAACTTACCGATACAGTAGAATGTATTGCTTCTATCGCCTTGGAAGATCGTTGGAGAGATACAATTCCGAAGGAGTGGTCATTATGTGAAGTAGTTTTAAGACAAAACAAGCAAAATGGAAAAAAAATCATTTCAGTCACAGACTTCAGAAAACAAGTTTCAATTAAAAAATTTGGAAAAGGAAATGAGACATTTGATGTGCTTAGGTTTTATCATGATATTGGGGCAATTCTGTATTACAACGAAAATCATTTGAAAGATAGAGCAATAACAGATGTACAATGGTTTGTAGACTGTTTTAAGAATATTATAACAGATCCAAAGCATGTCAGGGATCTTGTTGAAAATGACAAAGATTGGAAAAACTTCTTTGAAAGCGGTTATCTAACTCAAGGATTATTGAAGGGAATTTGGAAAAAGTAAAAAATGGACGTAAGGAAATGCAATTCTACATTAAAATACATGCAGCGCCTTGGTTTGCTTGCCGTAGGCAAAGATGCACACTATGTTCCCTGTATGAACAAATTAGACTTTGGAGAGCATTTAAAATATTATATTACACACTTAGAACAACAAACATCTGTTTTAGTGTTCAGTTTTCGGTTCCTGCCTCATTTCTTTTATTTCCGTCTCATAGTAGCCTGTATAGTCAGCACAGAGTGGACTATAATTGAAGAAAATGGACAAAAGTGTTTGTTTAAAAACATTGCTTTATTTAAGTTTGAAGGACACATAATAGGTGTAGCTGTTACTACATCATTTATTCAAGTTCAGATATTTAAACAGGGAAATGGGCATCTCAGTGGAGAAATTACGAGGAAAATAAAGAAAACGATGGAAGATGTCCTTGAGCAGCTGGCGAAAAACTTCCACAAGAAAACACTGTATGAGATCGGTTATCAGTGTTCAAAGCAAAACGTAACAGAAGGAGATGCTCTTTGCTTCATTTCAGAGAAAGAGTTGATTGGTAGAGGAGAATTTAGTTGTCCCAACCATGGACTGGAGAAGCATCATATCATAAAAGAAAAGGAACTGCTTCTCTTTTGGAAATATGGTAAACAAATAGAAAAATACGTCAAAGCAATTTTCTCTTATGAATCATTTTAATGAAAGAAAAAAAATCAAGAACAATAGGACAGAATATGATATTGACAATGTCGCTGTGGGAAGTGATTGGCTTTGGCTTAGAATTGAAAAAAAAATATTATTATTTTTACATGATGTGAATTGTACTATAGAGAAACAATCTTTTTAAGTACATCAATTGCAAAAACTTGTAATATTAAATGATGCAATTTTTGAACAATAACTTCGAAATCCTTTTTATTTAGAATACGTAAGGGCATGCAGAACTCGATCCTTGGTGTCTTTTAAAGACATAATCAAACGTTTTGGAAATAATACTTTTTTTACATTCTAAACAAAGGGACACACTGTGATATATCTCTCAGAAAGAGTAAATGGCTTTCTCAATGAAAATATTAAACACAAGCTGAAAACACTTTTTTTTATCCCGTTTATAAATATATTCAGTCTGACTAACAAAAAGAAACAGTGCAGAACTGCAAAAGTTTTACTTAATTGTGGTAAAAGTCCATGTTAAGAAATTTTAAGTCAGATTATCGCTTACCTGTGACCTAATGGTGTATAACACTGAGATTCAAAGAAAAATGAAAGAAAACTCAATAAACATTTTTTTTATCATTCAAAGTATTTAAAAAAAAAACATTTCTCTCATTCTATCTCTTACGAAACATCTCTTCTGAATCGTGAAAAGAATTCCGTATCGAACCAGTAAAAATTCTTTATCCTCGATTATGACCCTATTGAAATTATTGATAATATTGATAAATTACAATTTAAATTTCACAGCAATATTATTTATAATCACTGATTGATTTATTGTTATAAAATATTGATACTTTCTTATTTACTATTTTTAAACTTGATTTTTCATATAAATTGTAGTGAACTACAAAGATTTGATTATTTCATTTGAGGGGGTACCATGGACAAAAATTATCATGATATTGCATTCTTTTTAAAAACTCATTTCAGATTCTGACAACATAGCAAATCAGGACGACTGCACAACAAATGCACCCGTCGGAAAATTACCAAATCAAAATTATTACATATTTACACAGCTGATAGATATAGGCAGAAAATCACTTCAAATTTATTTCGACAAGATTTTCCCTTCAAAAGACATTATATCAATATTCATGAAAAACAAAGTCGATATGGAACATGGAAAAAACAAATTCAACAAAGATCAACTGGCTATTCTATTTGCAGGCAAGTTTCTTTTAACTTGATAATTTTTTCAACAGAATATCGGTTTCTTTATTATTTATTATTATTTTCGGAGGTCCGTGTTTGCTCTGCTCTTATTTTGTATATTTGTTTAATGGACGTTGAGATTGAATACTGTTCGTTATTTCCATATCCTTCTTATGCATAAATTCTGAATAGAAACGTCTTTTATTTCTTTGTGTCAGCATTCAATAGAGGAGCATTATAATCAGTGAGATATTTCGAGTTTCATACCTTCCTTATGACTAATTTCTTCTTTATAAAACGATGAGAAATTTATTTTCTTCATTTACTTCATTTAAAAAAAAGTAAGCACAGTGTATGCTAAATTAATTACAACAACGTTCACCATTGTGTATATTTAAGAAATTCGTTATGTACATTCACCCAAAACATAAAGAAAAGTGTTTATATACTTTGAATTTGCTACTGCGTGAAGCATTAAATGGAAATAATTTAGTAACCAATGAAATCAATCCAAACCCTGTTCATCTAGATTTCCTTTATATAGGTTTCACTCAAAAAATCAAGAAATCACTGGACTTTGGCTCAAAATTATTTTCCACCAAAAAAATTCGTGATAAACTTTTATTGAAAATATATTTCAAAAGAAGTTGATAAGCATTGATAATTGATAAGCAGTTTACGTCTCTTCTTATTATTTTACAGCCCAATACAAGAAGCCTAAAAAATAGAATATTGTATTGTGGTCAATGTAGTCATTGTGACCACGAAAATGTGATAATTTTATCTTGAAAATATCGATTAGGCAACTGGATTCTAAATAAATATAATTGAAAGACTTGAGTGAAAGACGTTCCATCATATTCCTCTTTTTCTATCCAGCCAGTGGAACCAGTCCATCTTCTTCAGCGTTTGACGTGACGATTATGTATAAACTATTGAGATACTACGGACCAAATGTTCAGGATCCACTGGTAGGCTGGGGGAACAAACCAGAGGTAGGAAAGAAAAGTGAAACGGATGATGTCGAACGGATACGATATTACAGAAACATGGTGGTACATCAAACAGACAAAACAATGGAGCAAGAAGAACTGGATATTTTCTGGAAGGATTTATCTCAGGTAAAAAGATCTCGTAAAATTATATTACTTTTATCAACTATAATTCAAAATAAACTATATATATTATATCATATCGTAAGAGTCAGGGTCTTTACATAATTTTATGAATTTTATTGTGACGCGAGTAAATTTTATATTTTTTTTTGTTAGAAAAACTATGCTATAGTTATTTTTAATTAGATTTGTTTTGAATGGAGTGATTTGCATATTTGGCTATGAACAAATGTTCGCACAGTTAATCGCGTGCTTGCATCTAAAAGATTATGGTGACTTTTTCATATGGAATAAGGTTATAAAATACATGTTCAAAAAATCTCTTGACGACTAATTCGTTACCTCTGTACATTTAAGCATTTTGTTAAAATGAATTCTTACATTTTCTTAATTTTTCTATACTAAGTTTTAACTATAACATTTTAGCACTCGTTTTTTCTGGATTGTTGTGAAAACAAAACACGATTAATTGTGTCGGTTTTCTTCCAGTTCCATTTATATCTTTTCACTTCCCAACAAAATTATGAAGACTCCGACAAAATTTGGAAGTAAAATATTTACATGTATCTATTTGGCTTTGGAAATCAGGTCTTCCAGAATTCTATTTGAATTCAGCTTATAAATACATCGTATGTCATCTCATGGATATTGGATATGATTAAATAATGAACAGTTCCATTAATAAAGACATTTGCAAGCTTGATACTAAAAATATCCTATTCACTAAGCTGAAATATAAATTTCTCTTGAAACAAATTAGAATTAGATCCTTTACGATCCTTTATTTTGTTATGCAGCGACAAAACAAAATAAAGGAGCGTAATGGATCTAATTCTAATAAGATTGATTTAGAAATAATAAACTATCTTAAAACACAGTCAGTACATATGTATCGATCAGGATCTAGAGAATGTCAAACATTAACTTGTTTACTATCATTATTTAGGCAATAATGAGACTCAGCAATGGAACTTTGGAAAAAGAAATTCAAGCTTTAAAGATGCAGAAGTAGGGTGAGTAAAATACTTGTGATTAGAAAAACGGAATATATATTTTATGCTTCGTTGAAAAGATAGACAGCTTATTTTACAGCTTATTTTACAGCTAATTTTACAGTTTATTTTACAGCTTATTTTACTGTTGTTTCTACAGGTTCATGAGAAACAAATATATTTCACGAACATCAATGATTAAAAACGTGGTGCATCCTGATGCAGAGAGGAGAGACATTGATATCTGAGTTAAACCAATTCACAATGTCAAACTGAAATAAGAAAGAAATTCCAGTGTTATTTTACTCTAATAGCACAGCCTTCGTTCGATGAAAAGATTACATAAATTTTGAACGATATTAACATTGTAGATATTTTTTTCAATAGTTACATTTTTGGAATTTTGATAAAAGAAAAGAAAAAATAAACCTAATGTGAAAGTGGCATTTTTATGAAGAGATAAAGAAACGTTCGAAAAAATACTAAGTTTTTTTTCCATTAGGAAGACATCAGAAGCAAGTAGCAACCGCTTATAATATAATGCCACTTAATAATACCAAATATCGTTAAGATTTTAAATGAAACTATAACAATAAATATCTGCATTAATTGTTGACCTTTTCGAACACAAATGCTAAATCTTAAATTAAGGAAAGAATGATTAAGCAGATGAGCATGTCAACAATTAAATAAGTGCAATGATTTATGACTTTTAGCCTTGTATTGCAACGCTGTTGAATTTTCTACATGTAGATCATTGAGCGCTGTTATGTCACAAATGGTTCTTACAGAGCGATAATATTTAGCTAACAAGCCACAACCATAACTTTCAGAGAACGTCTTTAAGGACAACATTTGGTTCCCTTTTTTTTTTAAACATCAATGCTCGAATACGTTTCTATGATTTGGAAGATGCATTTCGGGCGGAAAGATTAAACTTAATATGATAAAGCTTAATTTGATAAAATATTAGATCTTCTAAATTATATTGTGGTTCGCTATTTGCTGAGCGTCTCTAGTGGTGGACACGTTAGATTTTCTATATTATATACTGTCAGATTTCCTTTGTCTTTGATTAAAGTCTGTCCATTAAAACTTCATATTATAGCGATTAATTGTGCTCACAGATGCCTGAAGATTTTTATCCCTCCCCCAAAAAAAAAATCTGGAAAAAAATTCCTACCATCAAGTTGAACTGAAAATATCAGGATGGCAACGAGTTTTGGGGTACCCAGCTTAACAAATAGACCTGGGCTTCGCCATGAAAAATAGTATCCGGACATTTGGTGACATTTGTTCAAGTTGAAGATCCAATTTGTTAGACGATTACAGGGCAGATCTATTTGTTAAGGCAGGTACCCTCAACACACGTGGCCATCCATGTGTTTTTTTATTTGAGGGTGGCACATTTTTCCCCCGTCTTTTTACGATAAAACAAAATCAAGCAGTTGATTTTGAAAGCGATGAATTAATTCAAACCATTTATATTCTAACACATATGTTGTTCAAAATTATATCTTTACTTTATTTGAAACAACGTCGTCGAAATAATTTTAATGTAAAAAATAATTCTAGTAATGAAAGTTAACTTAAAAGCTGTTTTTATGTTTTGTTTATTGTATTTTGCCTTTCTTTAAATTCGGAAGAAACAATACCTAGAATGTTAGAATATATTTCATTTCTTTTTTCTATTTTATGTAATTAGCATGTCATAGCATTTTGTTACAAAAAAAAATACGCTTTATTTCTATGTGTGTGTTACAAATGCTCTTCATTTTTTAAATGATTTTACTTGTAATTGAAACTTTATGTATAACATTTTATTCATGTAAAATAGATTATGCATTATAACCAGCGTTTTCAAAATGTTTAATTTTGATTAAACAATTTCTTTTTCGCCTTTATGATTGAGTACTTGGTCGTTATCATCCCATTTAGATATTATACTTTAAAGAACAAACGCAGTTAAACATTTTCATATATAAATTTTTACAAGTTAATTTACTTATTACTTAGACGTAACAATTAAATAGCACGAATGAACCAGTTGTAAAATATTGTAATTTTATAGAACCATATATGTACACAGAAGAACTCACATCACTTTATTCTAGGTTTTAGATTAAATCCAACGAAATTTCTGCAAGGTTGATTGTTATGTGCCTAGTGCAAGTTATATTTAAAGTCAGCACATTTGAAAAACAAAACAGTTCTCAATATTCGTAAGAGTGTTCTACCATCTGTTTTTTATACCTGCAAAATATATGCATAAATACTCTAGGCCTTTCTGGTTTTTCATGTTGTAAATATGGTTAAAAACGCTAAATAGAATTATATTTGCGTAAAATTCTTAAAAGATTAAAATCTATACATATCTAAAATTAAATCTTTAAAAATATTAATTAATATTAATAAATATGTACGATGTTGTATTTTAACTACAAGTAACTCTTTTGTGAAGATCAACCAAGGTGCCGATTTAAGAGTTATAGTTTATCATTTTACAGAAAAGATAAATATGCTGCTTCAGTTGGAGCACAAAATCATCAGCTTAAATTTTACGACTTTTCAACTTTATACACAACAATTCAAAATCCACACATAAGTACTCTGAAGTTGACATCAAAAAGATTGTGGAATTTCTGATTGACAATATTTATGTGGTTTTTGGAGACCAGCTTTTCCAACAATCTATTGGAATTCCTATGGGCACAAATTGCACTCCGTTATTAGCAGACTTTTTTTTATATATAACCGCATATTTGAGTTCATCTCACAATATGCGTCGTTATCAAAGCTCTATATCCTTTAATTATATGTCATCATTCACCTCCTTTTTGTGAAAAATCGAATAAATGAGATAAGCCGGATTTTATTTATCCATCCATACAGTGTCAGTACGTAGTCACTAGGTTTACGGGTTATCTCCCCTTTTCTATGCATCAATGAAAGTGAAAGGTTGGTGATGAAAGTATCCGATTTATTTTTCTATATTATAAAATATTTTATCATAATTTCCAGTTTTTAAAGTTAAGTTTCAGTCAAAGAATTAACATGGATTATCTTATCAACATTGATATTGCTCGATGGCAAATATTTAATTGGATTGAAACAGATCGATTTGCCTCCCGTCCATACTTTAAACACTGGCACATGGTACAAGATATACAAGTATGGTAATAATAACCAACTTCATCAGCATATTTTGAATGAAGAAAAGCGTACTTAGTGAAATATTATTTAAACAAAATGAGCTAATCTAAGAATAGGTCTGAACTTCAACCTTATTCGGTCCATGTTATTCAAGGTCATTAGTCAAACATCCGTACACACTGAAGCCTATATTTAGATACTTACATGTACTGATGTAGGTCCCTTGGCCTATCTTTTAGTTTAGGGGGTTTAGAAATGGGAATATACATAGTTATAATTCTTACAATATGAGAATGGTTTTTAACTTCGGGCTTGTTGTATTTATCAGTTTATTCATAATATTTTGTGACATACTTTTCTTTAAAACAGTGAATAAATAGAAAATAGATTGAGAATAAATTTAAGTTTGATAAAGCTATTGTATCATGTCTTTTGAAATGTCATTTACCCGGATTCACATAAGAACAGAACTCTAATTAAAGGATATGATTTTCAATCAAGGCCATTCAAGGCCATTGTCCAAAGAGGGGCATGAAAGGTATGGAATTACAACAAAGGCAGTAATCAATTGTGAAATAAAATATTTCTAAGTAAAATAAAGAACATATTGTGGTGCTTTTGAATGTTATATTACAATTAATGCATTTTTATGTATATGAATTTAACATGACATAAGATGTGTATTTGTTTATACATATTTACAGTTGTACATGTACACATGCTATGACAAAACTCAAGGTAAGTATAAATACGAATGATGACTAAATAGATTTTGAGTAAAAAAATTTCAATTGGATGGAAGCATTGCAATGAACAATTCAGGCTGTAAAAGCTGGGGGCATAGATTCTATGCACCTCAGTTGAATTGTACATTGTCTGTCAAATCTACATATTAATAGTTATATTAGGACCAGCAGCATCCTCATCTATTCGGATATCTCTTCTCTTAGGGGGCTTGACAAGGAGGACAACTTCAGACTCAACCAGAACAATAACAATGTGTGCATAGTAATTTTGGGCTTCAATGGTTCACTAGTTGATATAGATAGGATTCCCCGAATTTTATTTTAATTATGTACATGTAGATATATATTATTTAGCAAGTCTAGCTATTATTTTGCTATATGAAAAAATATGAAAAAAATAAATATATGAATATATAAGTGTTCAAATTAATTAAGAGGGGGTCAAAGGCTTGTTTCACATATAAATTCTGTGTTGACATTTTAGTTGGTTTGGTTAAAGTTATAAATGAAGTAAATAAATGAAGGTCAGGCTGTTTGTTCATTTGGAAGCCGTCTTCAGTGTATATGAAAATAATTATGAATTTTTTCTAACAGGGCCTGTACCTTATTTGAGTAGGTTTCATTGATATCGACACATACATTTAATGACTTCTCATCTCTTAACTGCATAAAGGCCTTGTATTTTATATAGTTGTGTTTAGTAAGAAGGATATGGAAATAACGAACAGTATTCAACGTCTATTAAACAAAAATACAAAATAAGAGCAGAGCAAACACGGACCTCCGAAACATCAGAGGTGGGATCAGGTGCCATGGAGGAGTGAGCATCCCCTGCCGACCGGTCACACCCGCCGTGTGCTCGTTGTCATAATCAGGAAAAACGGAAAAAAAACCGTGGTCAATTCAGTGTATAAATAATGGACTAACAATTGGTATGAAAAACGTCAGTCAGCATTTCATTCAATGATAAATTGTATTTGCTGACAAGGTCATTGTATCGACCATAGAATTTACGAAATGATGACTTTAAACGAGACTGTTGATATTCTTGTTTCATCAACTTGCTTGTCAATAATTAACCTCGTTTAAGAAATTGTTCAAATAGAGCATGCTCTTGCGTATCGAATCAACTGAGATATAAATACTCCGTATGCAGGTGTTGAAGGTATATTGCTGCATAAGTAAGGGAAGTTGACGATAGAAAATTTAAAGTCATCACGTTTATCATATAGCTTGGTTGTTAGATTACCATTAGTGTCTTTCTCAAGTAAAATATCCAAGTATGAAGCAGAAGTGTCGGACTCTGTGGTATCTTTTATCTCAAGCTCACCAGGATATATCGTTTCGACGTAGGAATGGAAATTACCATTATTGATTGACAATACGTCGTCGATATATCTAAATGTCGAGTTGAAGGCCAAAGTAAGTGTTTTCTTCTTTTCACGCAAAAGATTTTGCATAAATTCTGCTTCATATGAATATAAAAATAAGTCTGCTAATAACGGAGCGCAATTTGTACCCATGGGAATTCCAATAGATTGTTGGAATACCTGGTCTCCAAAAACCACATAGATATTGTCAATCAGAAACTCAAGCATCTTCTTGATGTCAACTTCAGAGTACTTATGTGTGCAATCAGAATCTGCATGTTTTAACAAAATAATTTTTCAAATGACCAATGACGAGGTAAGTAAACTTACGAGTTCCATTTTTGTTAAAGAAGCAGCTGTCAATGATATCAAAAAGCCTGGATTTTAATTTGACGTCCGGAATTGTTGTGTATAAAGTTGAAAAGTCGTAAGTTTTTATGCTGTTGATTTTTGTAAAGTCTTGTGATTTCAAATTGTCCAAAAGTTCTTTATAGAATTTTTAAGTATCCACATCTGATTTACACCACTTCTTGAATATATAGTTGTACAGTACTCTTGAAGTTTTTCCTTCACTACTGTCAATATTTTATTGAGAAGTAACGAAAGAGGCTTGGTTGAACATTTAATGGAACCTGCAATGTATCTTTGTTTGTAAGGATTCTTATGAAGTTTCGGAATCCAATATATATAAGGTAGTTCAAATTCATTTTGGCTCTGTGGAATATTAAAAGTATTCAAAACTGACAGGTGATTTTGAAGAGTTTCTTCCTTAGAAAGAGAAGTAAATGTATAAGTAGGATTACCACTTGTAGAATTAAATCCAAGTTCTTTTAGAATGCAATTTATATAATGAGCCTTACAAACGAGGACAATGTTGTTACATGTACATGTACCT